AAATATCTGTAATAAAACTCGTTGCCGGCTCAATCGGTTGAAACATCAAACAATTGATGTGGTACTTTTTTGGTATTTTATTTGAGGGCCTACATAGACTTCGGTATTTATTCAAAGGCTTATCGGTGGCGATTTTCTCCTTTTTTAGTTTATTGCTATTTACTCTTTTACTTTTTTTTTTTATTATTGATTTTATGGTTGTTGAGAGCCAAAAACCAAAAGAGTTATAATGTAGGCATGTCTTTAGTTGAGAGTTGGTATTAAAATGCAATAATTAATGGCCAAAAATAAAATTGCGATCCATTGCACCCACTGAGTTTAATACCTCATAGCGATAGCGATTGCAGTATATATCGCATCGTCGTTATGGAAGACCGAAAAGTGGACCAACAAACAGGCAATGCGGTTTTAATATATTCAATCAGCAAACATTTTTTTTTTTCAAAATTAATAGCACATTTTTTTCTTCGTTGCAATCCCAACAACCATACTTTGCAATAGAGGCCCTACCAAAGCTGAGGATGAGTAAAGGTCATCAAGGTAATACAAACCTATGAGATGACCTCATTTGAACCCTAGTAGCGTAATTAAGAAGACCGTGCGGTCGTGGTTTGCCCACCGCAGACGATAAAAGCGATAGAAATTGTCAGCCCGAGTTTTGTTTTCAATGAATTCTACGGAGGAAGTTAGCTAGAAAAGGTTTCAACAAAACAGTAGTTTCTATAGAAGTGGTTTTTGAGAGAAAATTAAATGTTGATGGTGAAATAATCGTTCGATTTGGAATGCGATATCGTGGGAGTGCATCTAGGCCTACAAGAAAAACAGGTCATTAGTCAGTAGTGTAGCGTGTGCAAACGCCTTAAGCGAATAATTAGGGCCTACCTCTGATACATTTTTGGGGTGGGGGTGTGGGGACGTAATGTGTCACCAAGTAAGTTTCATGTTTAGTGCGATAACGAATTGACGGCAGATTATACGTTTACAGATCAAAAACAATGTTAAAGTTTTGTATAAAACGCATTTAAACGGATAACAATTCGAGTAAAACGCGTTCAGCGAATCTCTTTGGATAAACGCATATCTTCCGTAGGCCTATCGTAATAATGGGTTGATGGGGTGTTTGGGATAAACACGTCGGCAGACTTTAGAAGTTTCATGTAAAAAAGGGTTATATATTTATACCGCGCAAAATACGAAGGTCTTGATGCCCAAAAAGTATAAAAGCATCTCCAAGCCAGCACCCAAACCGCAGTATGGGGATACGCACGCACTCGTTGACCAGGGATCTATCAAAATGTACCCTGTCCAGCACTGAGTCACGGCAACTGAAACTGGTTCATAATGAAACAATTTTATAATAAAATCACTTTTACCTATTGGACAAAGTTAAGCCTCTGTGCCGAGAATTTGATAATTCTATTAAGCATTATTTTTGTACAGGGCAGGTACTTCATGTTCTTCATGACTTTGCGAAGTCTCCATTAAATTGTAACTTACAATTACAGGAGCATTAAATCTGCTTTGTATATAAAACTTAAAGGTGCCCGAAAAACACAAAACTTTATTACAACATTAGCGACCTTCGTGGTACCTTAAGTAGAAAATAACGCTACGTCAACGCTTTCAGTGTTATTTAGTCGGAAAATGCCTTGTTATAAATACGTATATGATTCTCTACAAAGAAAAAAAAAACATTGTTAGCTGAGTCAACGGTTTATCATGGCGTCATAAAAATCAATAAACATTTGTATTTTATCAAACCAACGAATCATTAGATTGTAGAGGATTTACTTTGTAAAAAGTGTGATATTTAAACTAAAAATAGACGAAGAAATCGCTTCGAGTAGGCCTATTACACACGATCGGTTAAGCATGTTTCCTTAAAATCGATGCACTGTTTTCAGTACAATCGTTGTACTGCGTAGGCAATCTGCGACGCAATTGGGGCTCCCCGATTCGACCGACCAATCAGCATCACCGAAAGCTGTCGGCGATAGCGTGTAGCGATTTTATGGAAGCCAAGCTTTAGGTGAACTTTGCCCTCAGTAACTTAAGCTCTCTCTGTCCACACACTATCGATTTTATGTGAAAAAATACCTGTTGTTTGAACGTGGGTATGACATGACATCATCTTTCCCATATAAGGGCTGGGCAACGCGCAGGTATTAGAGAGGAAGGCCTTACATGCATGACGGTCCACAAAAAAAAATGCAAACTTTATTAAAGACATAAGCCAATTAGAAACATAATCACTTTAATCACCGCAGTGCTTACATTAAATTGAATCCAAGAATAGATAAGAAATCATAATATAATTCATTAGAGCTCATTTCCAGGGACGCGTGTCTACTAAGAAATCGAAATTAAAAATTGAAATCTGATTTCCCGGTTTTGTTGTTTTTTTTTTCAGAACCGCTTATAAACTTTCTTGATCTCGTAAATTGTAAGTCTTTTGAGTAAAATTGACACATTGGTCATTCATTTGAACTTCCGAACAACCGAACTTGGGGACACACGAGTGGACTTATCTTTTTTTACAAACAGTATTACATTGATCGGTCTGCCGTTCGTAAATGTTAAAGAGGTTTGATAAAGTAAAGAACCCAAATTCCTTTTGAATGTCCTATGATATATAGGTACAGTATGAAAATGAGGACATCCATAATAAATAGGTCTACAGTCAGGGGCGAATTTAGGGAGAGGGCGCGGAAAGCACGTCCCATCGGTTTTGCCAATGTCATCTTTTGTTTTTTAACAGAAAAAATATAAAATGGCATACAAATACTGCGGTACGGTAAATATTACAATATTTCGTAACAGCATGCTAAACACGAATCAAATCATTATTGGATATTGTCTGTATAATTATATTACATCTAGGCCTAGGACTATATGAAATTAGTTCCCCCCCCCCCTTAAAAATTTTCGATCCGCATTCGATTATTTATAGTAGGCCTAATAACAATGGCGAGATACATTGAAAACGTAATTTTCAAAGCATTTGCGTCAGGTATCGATATATTAAACTGGGCATTTACACCACTGGGACGTTTCTCTTGGACCCCACGAATGCCAGGCGATCCCTTGGCCCCCCACCTTTATGGGTCACGCGTCCCCCGCCCTCCTGCTTACAACAAGGAATCTCCGTCACTGGCAGAGATTCGGATTGACCATTATTTCCCAAGAGAATCTGATCGTGTCTGTAACGTACACACTTATACTGATAATTATCGGGACACGGGAAACACAAATTGTCTGCATAAAATGTATAAACTTGTTTCACTGGTGCATGAATTTACATAGCATTAAGATCAGCTGTCTTCTTGGAACAGCAAACATACTGTATCGACTAGAGAATAATGAAGAATCACGGGACGTCATCTTATGTTATAAGCAATGACACACACTTGAAGTCAAGCTCCGTAGGAAAAATAGTTTCTGATATGTTGTAAAACTGATTTTCTAAGACCCAAAAAAGTACATTTGACAACAACAAAACTTGGAAGCGGTTAATGAATACAGACTTTTGAATAAACTGCTGAGGAACAAGGGGCGTAACCACCCAGTTTTTAAATATTCAAAAATCTGTAACTTATTATTAACCGCTTCCGAGTATTTCGTCAAATATGCTTTTTGTGTCTTAGATAAAATCAGTTCGTATACAACATACCAACATTTTTTTTCCACCGGAGCCTGTCTTTAAGTCAGAACATTACGCCATGTGAAGTACGGTAATAACATAATTGATCATGATGATAATAATATGACGAATACTTCCGAGTATTTCGTCAATTATGCTTTTTGTGTCTTAGATAAAATCAGTTCCTATAAAACATACCAAACTTCTTTTTTCCTGCGGAGGAAGTATTGAAGTCAGAACATCATGTTATGTGAAGTAATAACATATAATGATCATGATAATAATAATAATAATAATAATAATAATAATAATAATAATAATAATAATAATAATAATAATAATATGACGAATATAACAATATGAAGAACAAAAATAGTTTTATAATCAATATTATTAATTCTATAATAATAAGAAGGAGAAGAAGAAGAAGAAGAAGAAGAAGAAGAAGAAGAAGAATACTGTAATAATAGTAATTATAATTATAATAATAGTATGACTTAATAATATGATGACATATAATATTAATACTTTAATAATACGTCTGTATACGCCTGCTAGTATAATGTGGCCTAATAAAAATATGTAATATTAGGCCTAAAAATAATTCTGTAGTATAAATCCCTTGCATCTATTATGTAGGCTATTTCACAAATCTTTAGGCCCTACGCTTAAAATTCCAATCTTAAGATCATGGAGTGGAGTAATGCTGAGAATTAACCAATGAACAAATCGGACGGGAAGGTTAGCAATTGTTTGATAATTTAGGAACACGTTTAAACCTTCACCTCCCTTTGACCCTAGTTTACGTAAAAACCTAAATCAATGAAGCCCACCAAGGTCCCGGATTCCCAGACAAACACCCTGTGGCTATTTCTAACTGATTTCTTGACAAGTAAAAAAATGGAATGATCCATTATTATAGGGAACGGTATATTACAAACACATAAAACATCACGTTACTTTATTAAGTGTTTGCGTACTTGCATTCTGATGGTTGTAGTTTCTTAGATTTTGTTCTGAATTCGCAACTTGTTTCATTTATATCTCTTGATATTTTAACATCTGAGTCAATTACATTTCACTTGAGGCTGCTTGTCCTCCCCTCGCGGCGCTGCAACAAACCAAGCGTCCACCGCATCAGTCATGCTTATGGGGAGTTTTTCTTGGAAAAGGAAAAGTATCGTTACAGGAAACAGTCTGTTTTCAATCTTAGAACCGAAGTGCAATAAATCCGTGATGGACGTAATTCTGTAAGTCCGCATAATTTCGTATTTTTTTTCATTTCTTCGTTTGCGTCAGAGCGTTTTAGAACTCATTAACTAAAGGATATGATAGTGGTGTATGGTATCTCAACATTGAATATCACTAGTCTGATCAGAGACCTGATAGAAGACTGTCATTGCCTTTTCAAGAAACTTATCTTAACTGTTCTCCGTCTTGGGAAACTTTTTAATACGCCCCGATGAATCTGTGGTTTTATTATGTGATTTGTCTTTAGTATAGCTGTTTTTCCCCTGTATTTTTCACGTTATGCAACTTCGAGATATGTACCATAGGTATAATAGTGTGTAGTATGTTCGGATGTTATATCTGCTTTGTGAGTATACTTTTTTGGTTCATGTATTAACTTGGTACGGCATGTCCACACGTGACGTCTATATAGCTCCAGTGGAATATACCACTGAAGATGATGTAACGTATATGCGGACGTCACGATCATTATAGTTATTTAATTATCATCGTTGTCGTTGTCGTTTTGGTCTCGTCATCATCCCCAATATCATAATCAGCATAAGTCAACGTCGTCATCGTCTTGAACGTCACTATCATCATCACTCATCATTATCCATCATCATCATTATCATCATCATTGTCAATGACCATTATTGTCGTGTCGTCATCGCTGCCGTCAGCAGCAGTATCATTAAACATTTATAATCATCATCGTGGTCATCATTCACTAACATATCGATCACCATTCATGATGATGATGATGATGATGATGACGACGATGATGATGATGAAATGTTAATGATTCTGCTAATGACGGCAGCGACGTCATCATCATCACTATCATATTATCATCATTGCCGTTGTAATCATAGACATCATCGGACCCCATCCTCTTCTGTTAAACAAGAGCTCCAGCTTTAAGCTCATAGCCTTATAATCAAGGCATCACTGCGAAGTTTAAAGTTTATCTCCTTTCGTAAAACATTTATCTCGTACGTTTGACGACATATCAAATTGCTTCCATTTATGAATACCAAAATCATGCAATACTGTAAAAAATGTTTTGTTTTTGTTTGTTTCTTTTTTTTTCGGCTGCCGATGATTAAGCCACGCAATGACACATCTACCAATTTATACACTATTGCATCTTTTGGTGAAAATAGTTTTTACAAAAATTACCATCGACCCAAAATTAATATTAGCCTATATTATATTTTATTATATTATTATATTTATGTTAAGCTAAGAATTTGTTAATGAATATGTTATGTATAATGTATTACTGAAATTTCTTAACGACAAATAAAAGCAATACAACTATAGGACTAGGCCTATAGCCCTATGGAGTCATATTCAACCTCAGTGTACATTTTTTTATTAAGGGTTTTAAACTGTAATATGCCTAGTTCTCTAGCATTAATAGGACCTATGTCTACATAAATTGTTGTGGGTGATTAGATTTTATGTTGTGCATTTCAGTTTCCTGTTTAATATTAGTAGTTGGTAATAGAACCATTTAAAGTTAGTAGTATTTCTCTAATTTTTAAAATCATTAGTAACGTTCCGTACTGCTCAAGCGGTAAAACCTCATAACAGTGGTTCGACGGAAACCACTGTTATGACGTCATAATCATGGACAAACGATAAAATCGTTGCTACTACGACGATTTTAATATTTTTCCATGATTATGACGTTATCTGATTTGATTTGTCAACATATGTTGTTATCGCATAACTGATAAATTGTTATCGAATCGTTCTAGTGTAAAAACTTCTCTTATTTCTTTTATTTTCTATATGAACTATTGCATTTTAGCTTTTTTTATCGTTATCGTTATCGTTGAAGTATAAACAGGCCTTAAGCCAGGCATTTACTGCGCACGACGGTAGTCGGACGACGTCGTATATGGAGAACGCGACGCGACGCGTATGCAACGGCAGATCGTTTTTAATGATGATACGTTCAGACTGCACTGCCAATCAGCAGGCGGCGTCGCGTCGTCTAGTACTCACATGGAGCAGAGTTGAATTCGTCGGCCGATGGCCATACGACGCAGTAAGTGCCCGGCTTTGAGCGTACGTAAAGATAAAATATATGAAATTAATAAATAAATAATGTTTCGTAGGAAGAGCCTTTGTTGGTGCATGTGTTTTTAATACCATCTGACGTGAAACAAAACATTTCCTTGATCAGACGATACTAAAGGCTTTCAAAGAGATGTTGTATCAAGAAAACTATTAAGAAAAAAATAAGATTATCAACTCCAAAAATAAACTAAGAAGAAAAAACAAACTAACCTATGCAGTGTTTCCCGGATGTAGATTTTTTTTTCTTACTCAAAATCAGCTTAACTCTGTCCTCGAAGGCCTCCTAAATACCAGTGACGTCACCTTCAACGACATGTCATGTAAACACTCATGTAAATACATTCACAGTTGTTTTTAAAACGTATGTTTTTTCCTCCTTAGAGTGGCTTGGAAAATTCAAAGACGCACATCAGCAAAGTTGATCTCACAGAACAGACAAGCAATGAATTAGAAGCTGGCAACGTTGACAATGTACCAGAAAGTGCTGGTTCAAATCACCCTGCCGGTTCAGATTTGGAAGAAATGCTGAGAGACGATAGCGCGGATGATATGCCACTATGTCGAATATGTCAGGAGAAAATGGGAATCAAGGGTAAGTTTGTCATGATTGATTGGTCGATCGATCGATTGATTGATTCATTGATTCAATCAATCGTCGATTGACCCATTGACCTGTCTCTTATACACATCTAGATGTGTATAAGAGACAGATATATATATATATATTATATTACGTAGACCACAGACATTGTTCCTATCAACAGTTACGAATTTTATCATACCAAATGCTTACAAATTCAAATAAAATACGACAGGCCTATCCAATTTTGCTACAAGCGACTTTGGTTTTGTTAGTAGTACTTAGTACACTAGTAAGTCCCAGAAAGCAACCAATTTTCATTTTCTTTTGTAATTGGGGCGATATAAAATTCGAAAATATGGAAACGATTGATTGATTGATTGGTTTGTTGGCTGGTTGATCGATGGGTTGTTTGGTTGATTGATTAATTGAATAAGGGATGTTAGCATGAAAATGGATCTCCTTTTACTAATAACTCCGTGGTTGAATTTACATAATATGTTTATTTCATTGAATAATAGACCTACTTGCTGGTACAATATTGTTTTATGTTTATTATGATTACTAGCTGCGCCGTTTATTATGTGGATTCTCCCCCTGAGTGGGAGCTGAGTATATTTCATAGGTGGCCTAATATTTTGATCCAACGACCGGAATAATATCGGGAAGCTCATAGAGGATACATCCTCTTGATGCGCTATAGAACCTTTCATCCGGGACTAGACAGGCTGCAACATGCACGAATTTCCTTGGCCTCAAGTAAAACTACGTACCGTACGATTTAATTAAAACATCGTGGGGGCCTACAACATTGGTTTTCATGACGTTTAGACATTAAAATTAAATATAAGAGTTAAATAAATTTCATTCACACTTCAGTGCATACTGTGTTAGCTGAACTCTGCTTATTGATTGATTGATTGATTGATTGGTCGATCGATCGATTGATTGATTCATTGATTCAATCAATCGTCGATTGACCCATTGACTGAATAATTAAAAATATCTCATTCACTTTTTATTGTAAGTTGATAAATTAAGCCTTTCTAAATATGCAAATTAGGCAATTTAAATATGTAAATTAATTTTCTTTTTTTAGCTCATGACATGCAGTACATCGTTAACAAGGTGATTGTAAAGAAACTCTTATTTAATACTGAAGAGATTGATTTTAAATTATAGATATTAACATAAAATATATTAATTGACAGCTGTGGTTTATTTTTTGTCTGTTTACAGGAAAAGACAAATTGATTTCACCGTGTGGCTGCTCTGGCTCGTCAAAATTTATTCATATCCGATGTCTTCAAAAATGGACCCGAACCAAAGGCTCAAATATTTGTGAAATATGCAATAAACAGTACGAACAAAAATACTTGAAGCTTCCGCGATTAACGGTAAGTTAGCTTGACATATATGAGAACTGGTGGTACGGGGTTGTCTGGTCTGGTGATTGCGTCGATCGCAACAATATAAGCCTATGCCAACCTGGCTGGGATTATTGTGAAGATGATGTCATTTTACAATAAACATAATTCCCAGACATGTTGTAGATTAGGCCTAATAATCTGACTCAATCATTATAAAATTCAAACCATTCTGGGTTTTTTGTGCAATTCGGAATTTGTTGTTTTATCTATCTATTGCAGTGGCGTAGGGTATCTAGCCTCGCCTACCCAAATTAATCACGTTCAAAGTATTGGCCTAGTTAAAAATCACCATACGTCACTTTATTTTGCAACCTATAGCTAGGCCTACCCTCACTTAATAATCGATATTAGACTGAAAGTGATACGGTGGCCAAGAAATACAGAAACACTATTATCTATGCATCTAAAACAAACAAAATTATGCTGTACAGTATTTGCCAAAAAGCAATTTTTTTTTTTTTTTAATTAATGAATAAATTTTTTTAAGTGTTGATTATCTAAAAAATTAGTTTTTTAATAATTGATTGAAAAAAAAATACTGCAAGTAAGAGAAATAAAATATTGTTTAACTTTCAGACATCAGAAGAAAACACACTTGTATCGGCTTTGATCATTCTTGTACTTTTATCCGGTGTCACTGGTGTCGGAGTTTATCTTTTAGTTGCGCACATACACGAAACAGCAGGGAACATTACGGGCGATATATGGATCTCACTTAGTCTCTTAACTTCAGGCGGCATGGGACTAGCCTTATTCATGCCTTGGTTTTCTATGTTCATTTGGCGCATATGCGTGAACAGCAAGCGGCGGAGGGAGCTTCCTATATATATAAACGTTTAACTGTATATTTGACTTGTTATCGGATGATTCTGAAGAAAATGAATCAAGTTTGAGAAACTTGACACGTAGGCCTACATTAAGTGCATTCGTCTGAAGAGAATTTCCAGTTCACTGCCAGAAAGGCACTATAAACCACGGTCAACATAATTTTTATTTCAATCGTGATAACGTCTTTCAAGTTATGGTTTCGCATTTGACTAGGAAATGATACAGTGTTTTTTTCCATCCTGTTGGAAAAAGAAAAATCGATCATTAAGTTTAATGTGTTCCTGGAAGGTATTGTTATGTTGAAAGTTTATTGAAGAGTGGACCTATGAATAAAGCTTGTTTTCATACAATCGCTACACGCTATCGCCTATAGCTTTCGGTGATGCTGATTGGTCGGTTGAATTGGAAAGCCTTCCATTGCATCGGGGACTGCCACGCAATACTGTACAACGGTTGCAGTGAAAACACTGTAGCGATAGTGTAGCGATTTTATGGAAACCAAGCTTAGGAGATGGTTATTAATTTATAATACTTGTGAATCAAAGTATTTAAAGTATAATTAATAATTTATTAAGTCAATTGTAATATAATTTCGATCCTTTCAGTACGTTACCCAAAATCTAATTTGTCACTGTTATAATCGTAAAATTTAATTTGTATTAATAACTTAATAATGTAAATTATTAATTTCATTTTGAATTCAGCTATTATGCATCAATGCTTTGTTTGTTAATGGACCTTTTCTGCGCTAACCCGGCATTTTTTTTTTATATTGTTGGCAAGGTTTCACAAACAAAGTGTAAACGTATATAAGCACGTCTGTTTGTGGGACATGCGTTTTCCAGCTGGCCTACTTACTACCGTATGGTATTATACTAATTTCATTTCAATAAATAAACTTTTTTTTAAAGTATTATATTGTGTTCTCCCGAAGCCGTTTTAGCCGTCAGTTTTACCAGTAAAATTAACTCGCCAACCAGTAAAAATTATGTGTTGGTAAAATTAAAAATTAAAAAAAAAAACACTTATTAGGCCTAGGTAGCCTGGGCTGAGCTTCTTTCAATAAATGAACATCATTCCAGTTCAGGCCTAGACAACGTATAGTTGTTTTTTGAAGCCATTGAACCCTACAGTGACTGCTTCCTGGTTTGTTAATGCTGCCCTAAACTAAGAAAATGATCTTATCAGCTCTATATTTCATATATATTGGAGCTCATTTTCTCTTTTTAATCATTAATAATGTACGGTATATTTTGCTGAATGGGACAAAACTACCTTACGTTAACGAACCTCATGGAGGTATGCAACTATTTATTCAAATTCATTTATATTAAATTGTAGACCCAGTCTAATTACTGTTTATATTTACTGTATTATTTAATTAGCAAAGAAAACACCATGTAATAATAATTAGTATTTATTATTTTGAAGTTGTCAAATTTTTTCTTAAATTAGTATTTTATCATTTGTTTATTAGTCTTCCGTTGACTAAATATTTGATTATCAATAATACTATTTTTTGTATTATTATTACTTGATTAAATTTATTATAGGTTTTGACAAAACACGGTGCATTGCTTTATAACCGCTTTCAATAACAACATAGTTTGTTTTATTTATTTGTAAATCCAAGAATTACTAGTATTTTGTACCAGACTTGGGAATAAAGTCATGACCAAAATTAAATGCTTTTGTGTCAATATTTCTGTCGATGATTTCGCAATACCTGAACAATTAATCTTTAGACTATTGCTTATATTTTTTTAATTTTTTTTACGACTTATGAATACAAATTACTAAGACATGTTCTCTCAGTGGTGGAGAGGTTAATGTTGTGAAAAACAGAAACATCTCTGGAATGTTTATATATGTATTTATTTCGTTTTCATTTCTGTTAATAATAACAAAAAATAAATATTGCAATATGCTTTGGTGTCCATTACTAAAAACTGGCTAATCGTTGAATGAAAATAATTACCTGCGAAACTTGGCTTAAGTATTAGAAATACACACTATTACATCAAATTAAATTGTGGCCAAGTGGTTTTAGTTTTTGAAGCTGCTAATATTTTATTTAATGATTATTTTTTACAATAATTTGTAAGTTTAAATCAAAGAAGTCAATTTTGACGTTGGTACCTATTTGTTAAATTCGTTTAGCTAAAATACAAAAACAAAACACATGCTTAATCGAACTGATTTATCCAGTTCGTTGTTCTTGCGCCAAGTTTCAATTGTACAAAATACAAAATAACTTTATTGTTAAGTTATTGAGAAACATAGAATTAGCGCATGGAGGTATAATTATTTTGAGTGGGTTCCTGGCCCAGACCATAATTTTGGGTTACTCACTCTTTATTGCACTTAGTGCGCGCCATAGCTAATTGGCGTCCCATACTCGATTTCTTTTTCCGTCTCTCTAAATCAAAGATTTTATAAGATCCTTGCTCTAAATTAACTTTCTCGTTGGTGGCGCTCTCAAGAATGAGAAAAAAAGTAACATATTACAAATGGTGTTCTAGTTGCTTAAACAAATTAAACTACATACAAAAATACAGTTTTCACAACAAACTCAAACTAATATTAATAAATATAGTTGGCACTACAGTACTGTTGTCATTTTACTATTTAAATATTATAAATATATTACAAATAATAATAATAATAATAATAATAATAATAATAATAATAATAATAATATATTATAAATTCCAAGAGATTAAGCATTATTTTTATATACTAGTATCAATTGTAT